TCAATTGAGGTGGGTTGTCTTTTACTTTACATCCCCTCCAATGTAGTGTGCTACTGCTGGTACATCAGTGGTGTAGAGTATGAGATGCAGATGACAGGGATTAACAGAAGGGCTTTGGTTAGTTTTAACCAGAGGCTGGAGGATAAGAATAATCTTTCAGGAAGAATTTATGTTTGGGGTGTGAATTTGGATCGAAAGTCATCACCTGACTCTACCATTCTGTCATTGTAGTGGTTGCTAAGATTGTGACAGAAATTTTAAGTACTCACATTGGCTTTTCATGGAAATGTTTGGGTGTGGAACACTGAAGGGGTAATCAAAATTGCTCCACCTTGAAGTGTTGCAATGAAGCCCTTGTTTGCATAAAAACCACTCATGGAGATTAAAAAAAATCTGACATGTTCGTCTTAGGCAACCTAATGAAAAGATTGTATGAAGTAATTTATTTTACAGATAGCTGCAAGCAATGAGTAAAACTCAAAGACCTGTGTACTGCTAAAGATTAGGGTGTCAGAATTAATTGACAAGTTCTGAGAGTATGGAAAGCTCATCCCCAGGATGTCAGGAGATTCCAGGTGCTAATAATCTTGGTTACGAATGACGTCCAGAGAGGATCAGATTCTAAGGTGGGCTAAAAGGCGAGGAAGCCCCTCTGTCACTATCCTCTGATCCCCATTCTTGAACCACAACCTCAGGGGTCACGTGATGAACTGGTTGAAATTGGAGATCAAAGATGGCAGAGAATGTGCCTGCAACTTGACCTTTTTACTTTATCATGGTCAGGTTAGACTAAAATTACCATCAAACTTCTTCTTTCCCATCATCTATGTGATATCATGACAGTTCTGAATGCCACATGTGGTATAAAAAGGAGAGTGGCTCCAACACTGACAAGTCTCTACTCTAAAGACCAATTTTCTCTAGGAAAATCCTCCCTCCCTCATGAATATATTGCCCCATGCTTAGAGAAGTCCTTTAAAATATCCAAGCCCAAGTCTGGAGTATGGGGGTAAAGGCTCTTGCCTTGCATGTGGCTGACCCTGGCTTGATTCCCAGCAATGTATGATCCCGTCCCAGCACTTCTGGGAGTGATTCTGAGTTTGAGATCTGTTACCACATGGTCCCCTGAGCACCAAGACTGTGACTTTGGTAGCCCCTGATACGAGTGGGCTCCATTACTGGTTCTAGCATTGAACTGTCAGGTCCAATTGATGGAATATTGTCCAGAGTGACCCTGAACACCACTTGGGTGACTCCCCAAAATATTTAGACCTCAATCCCCTCCTGGAAACTCCTCTATGAGTGTGCCCACAATCTGTCTCCCTTAGAATGTGTATGAAATCTTTAGCAAAGCTTTCTTTTGCTTTACTTTATATCTTTTCCTTATTTATTTATTTTTTTTGTGATGAAAGCAAAGTCTTTGACTACAAGTTCAGGTTGGGAAAGACTGTTTCCTTTTCCTGTAAAGAGCCAAACTGTCCTAGCACCACATGGTAAAAGCAGTGCTTAGCTTATTCCTAGTCCTGCACTCAAGGATAAACTCCTGATGGTATTCAGGGGACCATGTGGTGCTGGGAATTGAACTGGAATTGGCCACATGCAAGGAAAATTGTCTTATTTCGTGTGCTCAGTAAATAATTTTGGAAATGTCTTGACCAATTATTTTGTACTCTTAAAATGTTATATATGAGGCACTGGTACTATTCAAAAAATGTTGGTTTCTTGGGGGTAGGTGGGTGGTTATTATGCCTGGCAATGCTCAGAAGCTATTCCTGGCTCTGTGCTCAGGGGTCATCCTAGTGGTGCCCTGGGAGGCCATGTACGGTGCTGGGGATTGACCAAGATTTACCTGCAGGCAAGGAAGTTACCTTAGTTCCTTGACTATCTCTCTGGTTCACATGGATAGTTTTTATAAAGTGATTTATGACTTGCAGTATTTTGTCATTTGAAAAGTTCTTTGGAAAACAGTGTTTGAGCTACCTTTTGGGTAATTTTATGTGTCATATTATCTTCCTATCTTGTGCTGAATTTATGAACATTGTCTAATTTTGTTTGCAGTTATTGAGCAGGTTTTAACTGCCTTCTACAGATCCGCAGGTCCTTGGCAGCTTCCTCTTCTCTGTCACCCATAATCCTTGCTTCTTGTCCCTAATCTCTGGGATGATAGATGCCACTTCCAGCATTCTCACCATTTTTTGTCCATGTTGCCTGAGCTCAGAAATATAAGAACAACCCTATCAATCTCTGGATCAGAGCTGACAGATGAAAATCCATATGCGAGTAGACACTGGCCCATCCTCAAGGATAATTAATTCCATGCCCCAATGAAATCAACATCTTCTTCTCATTTAAATGTAGTGTTGACTGAATTACTGAACTTCGGAGTCTGAAAGTCAAACCTCTGTCTGTTGTGTGATCCTAGAATGGGTTTGGCAACTGGAATAAAACGTTGACCTATTTTTCAGCATTGCATTTAGTACTCTAAACTTCATGATGTCATCTGGTTCCATCCTCTTTTATTAAAATTCCAGTGCTCTTAATTCTTTCTACCATATTTCTCAGTATGTTCTGGCCTCTACTATAGCTGTCCATCATCAATCATCTGGTACAAATACAGCATCATCATACTTGTCAAGGAAACGGACAAATTGATTTTCAGAGTAGTCACATACTGTTGACGGGCATGAGGCTGAGAATCACCATCAGTGTGGATTTGAGGGGTATAAGGCTAGAACACTGGACCTCAGCAGATTCAAAAGGGAAGTTTCCCAATGTAATCCTGATGGTCTCAGGGACAGGTGACTGCACACTGGTTTCCATTGCTGTCCTACTTTTAAGCAAGGCTGGATCATCTAGCTCATAGCTTTTAATTTTTCAGCGAAGAAAAAACATTCAGGGTTTAGTTCAGTGTAATTGGTAGGAAGCCTTTGTTTCATTTAAGACAGCCTAACACGGGCTCCTTTTGTTCGAGTAGTGATTTTATGCTCAGGGATGATCTTTATCTGTGAGTGGCACGCTCTTTCTTTCCTTCCTTCTTTCTTTCTTTCTTTCTTTCTTTCTTTCTTTCTTTCTTTCTTCCTTTCTTTCGCTTTTTGGGTCACATCCAGTGATGCTCAGGAGTTACTCCTGGCTCTGCGCTCAGAAATTACTCTTGTTGGTGCTTGCGGGACCATATGGGATGCCAGAGATTGAACCCAGGTTGGCCGTGTGCAAGGCAAATGCCCTACTGGCTGTACTATTATTCTGGCCCAAATGAGAGTGGCTATTTCAGCTATTTAAGTGGCTATTGTGGCCTTAAATCCTATCTTTTATTTCAGGTAATGTGTCCAGAAGATGAACAATAGCATATGTATTGTTATGGTGATTAAGCTTTGATACTCATATGTTATCGCACTTATTGTTTTTGTATTTGAAGGTACAGATTCACACAAGTTATGTTCAGGTTTGCCTTTTGGGAATATGAAATTTGGCATTGTATGCCAAGTCCGATGTTCTTGAGGACTGACTTTGAAGTCTTTCCTAGTGATCTGGTCTTTCATTTTCAGCTTCTTGTTTGATGAAGTGCTTGCCCAAGTTGGATTTGTTTAGTGTCTGGTTCTTCCCAGGACCCACCCTGCACTACCTTCCACCTGAATCTTAACAGGTTTCATCCTGAGCAAGACAGGACAGAATCAGGCAGCTTTAGAATCACTGCAGGGGGCAGAGGAGGGAGCTGGGGCCAACACCTTTGGGGTCACAAATGCCAACAGTGGCAAGTAGGAAATGATTCACTAAGTTTACTAGGGGTGCAGAGGGATTTGGCAAAAGAGTGGGCCCCTTGCCTCCTTTTCTTCTGTGGCTTTCAGAAATCTGGCCAGATCACAGAGCCACTCTGACTTACCAAGATTCTGTAATTTGACCGTCTTTTGAATGTTTTGCAAATGTCCACTGTCAACTCCTGGTGACTTTCCAGGAGCTTGTTGTGGAATCGAGTCCCCCTTATTGGTAATACCTATGTTTTCCTTCTAATTTGTATTTTACCTTTCCTCTCTATTCAAAATACACATTCACGAACTGGGAGGCATAGTTTATGTTTCCTTTCATCTTATGAAATAATTCTGTAATGGGTATAAGTAAACCAGGTCATCATTAATTCTGGATTGGATAGTCACAGAATCTCATCTTTTTTTTTTTTCGTAAGTTAAATGGTTGGTTATACTTTTAGGGACACTGAGGTCTAATTTTAGGAGTTACTGATTCAATGCTATTAAAAAATTCCACAAACAAAAATGGCTGAAATCTTAATTTTTTCTTTTTCTTTTTTTTGGCCGCAGCTGGTGGTGCTCAGAGATTACTTCTGGCTTTGCACTCAGGGATCCTTCCTGGCAGTTCTCAGGGGACTCTCTGGGTGCCAGGGATCAAACCTGGGTTGGCCACTTTCAAGGTAAGTGCCTTACCCACTATACTATCTCTCTGGCCCCTGATTTTGATTTTTTGAAATAGGATCATAGCTGGTGGTGCTCAGGGCCACATCAGGTGGTGCTGTGAAGGCAGGTAGAGGTGGCGGGTGGGTGGGGAATACAGGGCATGGATTCAGCTCAGGTTCTTGCACACACTAAGCATGTACTTTACCATTCCAGCCATCTGGCTCTACACGCTTGCATTGTATGGAGAATGCACTTATAAATAATGGTTGAATATTCGTGACAGAAAAATGCAGCAAGATAATACTTGCTTCATTTCCAGGTAAAAACACAGAATTTCTGAAAAAAAATTAGGAACAACATAGGTAACTTGCAAAAGTAAGTTTATTGTAGTGCAGAAACAATTAGAGAGAAGTTGCCATGTTTTTCAAGAGCATTCTGAAAAGGCAAGAAGAGGATGCAGAAAAGCAGGTTAGGCATTGAGTTCCGGAGAGAGGCTTTTCCTTGGAGTTTTCCAGAAAGATGACTCTATGGGTGCAACCGTTTTGTTCGTGTCCTTTTCCTCCGGAAGTCACTCCTTGGGAGTTGGGAAACTGCTTATTTAAACTTCACCTCTGAAATATTGCTGACTTGAGATGAGACAACTTTGCCATCTACCACCTCCTCGATAATGGTCTTGGTCACTCTGGTCTTACTAGGATCTGAAAAATCGCAGAATCGTAATGTCAGTTTAGAAACCATCACACGGGCCGAGAAAAGTCTCAGGGTGTTATAGGAGTTTCTTTCTGGGTCAGACAATTTTTGTAAACAATAGTACATAAACTTTGAATATTACATGGTTTCTTTTAATTAAAATTTTTTTGTTTGTTTTTGGGGCCACAATCAGCAGTGCTCCTCGCTCTGCATTCATAGATCACTCTTGGCAGTGCTCAGGGGTCCATATGGGGAGTTGGGGATTGAACCTGGGTTGGTTGTGTGCGAAGCAAACACCCTACCCACTGTTCTATTGCTCTGGCCCCAACATCATTCCTTTTAAATGATAAATGCTTCATGAACATCAAGAAAATGACTACCTCGTGTCTGACCAGAGCAGCTTCCTCCAGATCTTGAGTCACCGGTTCCTGAGCCCCTGGATCCTGAGCACCTGGAGTTTCTAAAATCAGAACCACTTGTGAGAATGCTGGAAGAGGAAGGTTCTGCTTCTGTCTGTGGCTTGCAAAGTTGCAGGACACCGCCAAGTGTGGTTCTCTATGATGTGTCACTGTGACTTTGTCAACACCAGCCCAGCTTCCCTTCCCGTTCCATAACCAACACTCAGTCCGAGGGTGACTTGCACTTACCCTCCCTCCCCATCCAGCAGGCGGCGGTAGGTCTCGATCTCCATCTCCAGACGGGTCTTGATGTTGAGCAGCTGCTCATACTCCGCATTCTGGCATTCGGTCTCACCCCGAATCTGGCAGATCTGTTCCTCCAGGCAGCTGATCTGCATCTGCATTTCCGACAGCTGAGCCATGTAGCCCCCCTCCGTGTCTGCTAGGGTCCCTTCCAGGGAGCTTTTCTAAAAGAAAAAGAAAAAAATGTATAATAAAAGAAGTAATTGGGTTACTTAAAATACACATGCATTTTTATAAGGTCAGCTTCATTAAGTTAAACCTATATGCTTAATTTTTGTTAAAATAATTATCTATTTTGTCTACATCCAACTTGATGCTCAATGGTCACTCCCAGCCATGCTCAGGGGACCAGGTGATGCCCAGGGAGGAACCTGGGACTCCCACATGCAAAGCATGTGCTCCTGCCCATGAGTTGAGTTATCCCCCCAACCCTACTTAAAAACAATAATTTTAATTTTAGAATTAAATCTTTTATGTAAAGAAGTAGGACATTCTTTTCAACTAGAATGCTCCATGCTTCCTTCCACCACAATTTAGTTCTTAATCATGCTTTAATTATGTGCTAAGTGGAACACCTTGGCAAAAAGGAAAACACACATACACACACACACACACACACACACACACATACACGGGATATCTTCACTCCTGACTGGAGAGTTTGAAAAGGCACCTTTGCACCTACCATGGCCAGCTGGGACTGAAGCTCAATCTCCAGGGCTTGCAGAGTGCGTTTCAGCTCTGTGATCTCAGTCCTGGCAGAACTGGCAGCTCCGGCGTCAGTGGAGATCTGAGCTTGCAGGGAGGCACTCTAAACAAAATCGGGGGGAGTCATTGGAGGCTGGGCTCTGAGAGTGGGTGCAGCTGGAGTGTGGCCGCAGGCTCAGAGGCTGACCCACCTGCTTGTTGAATTGCTCCTCTGCCTCCCTGCGGTTCTGCTCAGCCAGTTCCTCATACTGCGCCCGCATGTCGTTCAGTAATTTGGTGAGGTCGGTGCCCGGAGCCGCGTTCATTTCCACATTCACATCCCCTCCGGAGCTGCCTTGCATGCCCTTCATTTCCTGGCATGAAGAAGCAAGAACATAGTGATGGGAAGGGGCAATCTGGGGCTCTTGCAAATGCACACAGCCTACCCAAATCTGAAGCCAGGACAGAGATGAGAACTCCCCCGGCCCCTCCCAATCCACATATCATGTATTCATGATACACATTCCCCCACTTCCCCAGGTTGTAGTAATTGGAAATCCACTCAGACAGAATTAATTTTTCTCTCTAGGGACTATGGCAAGTGGGAGAGGGGTCAGGACAGAGATATTTCCTAACAAAGCGGGGTCCTACCTCCTCATGGTTCTTCTTCAGGTAGGCCAGCTCCTCGGTCAGGCTCTCGATCTGCATCTCCAGGTCACTGCGAGTCATGGTGAGGTCATCCAGTACTTTCCGTAGGCCATTGATGTCGGCTTCCACACTCTGGCGGAGATACAGCTCGTTCTCGTACCTGTGAGAGTAAGAGAGCAAGACAATGGGATGTGAGCCAAAGAGGAAAGTTCCTGCTCATCCATCCAAGTGCAGCTTTCTCCTTAGTGCTTTCTGGTAAGGCTCTCTGTGCCATCAAGAAATGGAAGAGTTTTCTTGCAGGAGCTTTTCTTTAGTCAAGAAAATAAGAGTCTACATTTGATTCTCTTGGTGACTATTATTTTTTAAAAATGTTTTAAATGATAACTCAAATGTTATCCTTCAACTGTCTTTGTGGTGGAATAGTTTTAAAAGTATACCCTCTGGATGTTTGTGAATTTATGGCCTGATATAAAAGATTTTATTTTAAAAATTGGAAATGAAACTAAGCTACTGGATTTTCTCCCCTTCCCCCTGTCACAACATGCATCTTTAAATCTTCACATTTCTTACTTCAGTCTGAAATCATCAGCAGCCAGCCTGGCATTGTCAACCTGCAGGACAATTCCCGCGTTTTCAATAGTGGCAGTAATGATCTAGAAAAGGAAATGAGAGGGAGTGAGTCTGACCTGTGTTTGCATGCCTGCCAGGGAGGGGAAAGAAAAGTCTCCAGGTCGGCCCTGCAAGGTGCATTGCTTTGGAAACCAGTTTAGTGATGCTGCTTGCATTGATAACACTGGTGCAGTTGGGTTATACGTTTCTGCAGAAACAAACACTTGACACATTTAGCGGAATAAGCATAGAAGGTTGTTTAAAGAACACAACCCTTCTGCTGCTTTGGAAGGTTATTCTCCCAGAAAACATAAATCTCACTTTCAAACACAAGATGTTAAGAATAGATTTCCCACATAGAATTGTTAAACATTTTGATATTTAGATTTCACCACACTCTTATACCATATTGGTATCAGTTTTCAGGAAGAAAAATAGTCTAAGATTACTCAAATCTTGCAAGACACAAAAATATGCCAACCTACCAGAAGTCATCATGAAATTAGTTTAAGTTACAGTTGACTAAGCTTGTTGCCATCATTTATATATAAACACTTGCAAAAGAGCTGACTGGCATTGTAGGTATTTCACTCTGACGTGGATGCACTCAATCATGAGAAGCCAACAGAAAATTAATGTAGCAGAAGGTTACACATAGTTTGAGTTAAGTCAAAACTGGCCGAGTCCCACTGGACGTCTACAACAATGCTATCGGTTTCCAAAGGCCCCCTGCACTGAAGTTCTTCAGTATAAGACATGATCTGAACACAAAGCCAAGGAGACAGAAATATCAGAAAGAGCAGTCATGGGGGTCTCACCTGATTTCTGAGATCCTCAATGATGGGGTAGTATTTGCTGTAATCTTTTCCAGACCCACTGTCTCCAGAGTTGGGCCCAAATTTCTCATACCACTCCTTGATCTTCCTCTCCAGATCCGAGTTGGCCTCCTCCAGGGCTCTGACCTTGTCTAAGTAGCTGGCCAGGCGGTCATTGAGGTTCTGCATGGTTTGCTTTTCGCCCCCAGGGAAAAGCCCCCCATCGCCACCCCCCCATCCCTCCACCCATCCCCCCACCCATGCCCCCACCGTAGCTGTAGAAGCCTCCGCTGGCCCCTCCACCCAGTCCAGAGCCCCCTCCGAATCCAGAGCCCCCTCCGAATCCAGAGCCCCCTCCGAATCCAGAGCCCCCTCCGAATCCAGAACCCCCTCCGAATCCAGAGCCCCCTCCGAATCCAGAACCCCCTCCGAATCCAGAACCCCCGCCAAAGCCAGCTCCCGAGACCGAAGCGCCTCCAAATCCACTACTGAAACCTCCACCGAAGCCCCCGCTGGAGCTGCCGCCTCCAGCTCGGAAGCCGCGGCAAGAGCTGACCCCCATTCCGCATCGGCTGCTGCTGCTGAAGCTGCTGGCCCCCATGGACCCCCTCATGGAGCTGCTGCCTTTAGCCCTGCAGGAGGAGACGCGGGAAGAGCAAGACATGGTAACTGGTGAGAAGCAGGTGGAGCTGGTCGGTGGAGCAGAGGCGGGAGAGGCTGTGGCAGCTGCTGCCTTTTGGGCCCTTTTATACCCACTGGGAGGGTGTTCCTGGTCTGTGTCACTTGTTAATCCCCGTTACAGTGGTGCTAATCCGCAGCTGGATCACGGCTGTTTCTCGAACCCACTCTACTGGCTTTTTTTTTTCCAGAAGCTGGGTCAGCGCCCCAGGGCATTAACTCTATCAAGAAAATAATAAGGTGGAGCAAGGCAAACCCCTCTCCCCCCCCCATTAGAGTTTTTAATCTTTTAAGGGTTTGATGACTGATCATTCTTTTCTGAGAGAGTAATTCTATTAAATTTGCCTCATTATTTCTCAATTGCAGGGCACATCCCCAGATTAAAAAATGTAATTAAAATACTTAATGGGATGAGAATGGACATTTCCCATCAAACTGGTAACTTTTTGTTTCTATTATTCTTTTAAAGATGCATCAGCATTTTGTTTGAGTTTTACTTAACTGTCGCTCTAGAATAATTTCTTAAGTTTTTCTTTTCTTTTTCTTTTTTTCTTTTTAAATTCTTTGTTCCCTTATGGCTGACATGCAAAAAAAAACAGCTGACATATTTAATACAGGTAACATGATATTCTGGAAATAAATTCATGCCCTTGAAATCATACCATCTATGCTACAAACAGTATATCCTTCACCTCCAAAGGTTTCTTCCCACCTTATTTATTATTTATCTATTTTTTTTTGATGTTTGCATGGGTCAGAGTCCCAGGGCATTAAATCTATCAAGAAAATAATAAGGTGAAGCAAGGCGACCCCCCATTATAGTTTTTAATCTTTTAAAGGTTTGATGACTGATCATTCTTTTCTGAGAGAGTAAGTAAGTAAAAGTAAAGGCCCTCCCGTTGATCATCGATTTGCTCGAGCGGGCCCAATAACGTCTCCATTGGAGACTTTGTTGTTACTGTGTCTGGCATATGAAATACGTCACGGGGAGGGGGAGCTTGCCAGGCTCTGCCGTGCGGGCGAGATACTCTCGGTAGCTTGCCGGGCTCTCCGAGAGGGGCGGGGGAATCGAACTCGGGTCGGCCATGTTGGCTGCGTGCAAGGCAAAAGCCCTACCGCTGTGCTATCGCTAATTCTATTAAATTTGAAAATATATCCCTAGCAACGTTTTTGGGGGGTGTTCGGTGTCAGCCTGATGGTATAGTGTTGTGAGAGTTTTGGGGACCATTAGTGTGTACAACCTGGTTTTGGTGGGGTACTCTAGACCTATAGCTAGCAGTACTGGGGTACTGGGTATGCAATGCTGAGGATTAAATTCAGGATCTCAAACATGAAAGGCATGCACTTCAGTCTTTTGAGTTATCTCCCTCGAACCTTAGCAACTGTTAGACCTATAACATGATAAATTAATGAAAATGAACTGTGATGTTAATGAAGACTTAGCATCTTAGAAATAATAGCACTGTAGCACTGTAGCACTGTCCTCCCGTTGTTCGTCGATTTGCTCGAGCAGGCACCAGTAATATCTTCATTGTGAGACTTGTTGTTACTGGTTTTGGCATATTGAATACGTTACGGGGAGCTTGCCAGACTTTGCTGTGTGGGCAGGATACTCTTGGTAGCTTCCCGGAGTCTCTGAGTGGGGCGGCTTAGAAATAATAGCAGAAAAAAAAACTTTAAAGCAAGCGATGAAAATATGGTAAAATTTTCCTAGTTTGGAAAGTTTATGGGGGATTGGTGAGTTAAGAGCTGAGAGAGGAATTAGATCTAATATTGGAGGTAAATTCTGATGGTTCTTATATGTATATATATATCTTATACATAAATACACAAAAAAATCACAAATCACAAATCATCTTGTTATTCGTCGATTGCCTCGAGCAGGCCCCGGTAACGTCTCCTTCATCCTAGCCCTGAGATTATACTCAAGGCTCTTTAGGAGAATGAGACCCATCATTGTTACTGGTATTTGGCATATTGGGTACGCCATGGGGAGTTTGCCAGACTCTGTCGTGTGTGCAGGCTACATTCGGTAGCCTACATAAATATGTGTATACATAAATACACATAGATAAAAGATATATATGTATTTTAGTTGAGAATGCCATTTCTAAATGAAATGTGTTCATATTGCATTATCACTCTTGCAGAATAACAAGAAACTACAAAATATATCCCCCAAACAAAAACAAAAGTTACTACTATGTGAAGTCATTGGAGTGTACAGAAATGCAGACAGATTTGGAAGAATGTCCAGAATTAGAAGAGAAATTAGTTTAGGGATTTCCATGTTACAATTTTGGCAAGAGAGCATGAAGCATGCAGAGTGATTAAAACTCTACTCAAACACGACATCTTATTATCTCATTCTTACTTTGAACAAACTGGCAGGCTACCAAATGTAACCTGCTCACACGGCAGAATCTGGCAAACTCCCCCTGTCATACCCAATATCCCAAATACCAGTAACAATGATGGGTCTCATTCTCTTAACCCTGAAAGAGCTTTGAATATGGCACTTTTTAAAAAAATTTTAGGGCTAGGATGAAGGAGACGTTACTAGGGCCTGCTCGAGGCAGTCGACTCAAAAATAGGACATCGTTTTAGGCTTTGAAAATCAGAAGAAAGTTTGAGACAAACAGAGCAACTAGAAGTTGGTTATTTCAGTCAGCAAATATTTGCTAAAGTTTGTGACATTAATGTTCACCTTGTAGTTCAACAGTTGAAAATTTAATTGTTCAAATAAAAACTTCAACAATGATCTTGCATGTCTGTATTATGCTAGCAATGCTTTTACTCAAGCAGAGAATACCTAAGAAAGATTGGGAGAGCTAAGGTAGATTATTTTAGCATCAGATCAAAGTTAATTTTCTTTCTGTTTGAACTTGAGGCTATATGATAATTTCGACTAACTTCTTTAGAATCAAATATTGAGAAACCAAGAGATGAGATTGACTTCACCCGCCTTTGCTTGAACGCTATTTGGACAAGAGACTCTAAATCCACTTTTAATAACTAATGTTATGCTTGGAGTTGTTTTGTGTGATTATGAAATCTTGATATTCCTCCAGATTATTCTCTGCCTATGTTTTTCTATTTTTGCTAAAAAGACATGTAGAAAAGAGAGGGCCCATTCCCAGTGTCTTACTGTATGGTCAGGGTCTTTTTATGGATGCTGAAATCTAGAAACATCTAGAAATCTAGTATAGATTTTTCTGGCTATTTATATGTTGGATTATTTCTATTTGCCTCTGACAACTGTTTCTCTGGTTTAAAAGTTTTGCTTTTGTTTTCTTAATAAGACAAACTCTATATGATTCTACTTACAGAGGTGGTTGGTATAGTCAAATTCACAAATTAGAATGATGATTTCCAGGGGCTGGGTAGAAGGGAGAAGGAAAAATTTTTAATGGATGTAGAAATTCAGTTTTATAAGACGAGAAGAATTTTGAAGATTAGTTACAAAGCACACAGCAAAGCCTGGATTCGATATGCCAAACACAGTAACAACCAGTCTCAAAATGGAGACGTTACTGGGCCCACTTGAGCAAATCGATGAACAATGGGAGGACATTGTTTGTTTGTTTGTGACAGTTACAAAGCAAAATGAACACACCAACTACGATTGAACTGCATATTTAAAAGGAGTTAAGATATAAACTCTAAATTAAGTGTACCTAACTACAATTTAAAAATTACCCCCTTTAACAAGCAGAAAGTATATGCTTCCAGAAATATATTTTTAAAATCTTTTAATTTAATGTTCAAGCATCTGACTTTTGTTTATTGGAAATTTTCTTCCTAATGTTGACAATTAAATGAAATGCATGATCCAATCTTTATTCTTTATATTTCTGTTAAACAAAGTGTTGCTATAATTTTTATATTCACCCTTTTGTTATCCAGGATTCTGTCTTCGTGTGTGTGTGTGTGTGTGTGTGTGTGTGTGTGTGTGTGTGTGTGTGAAGCAAGGTGGTTTTTATGGAATAAAACTTTTTTAGGGAGACGTGAGAGGAGAGAAAGAGGGGACATATGTGTTTAAGAGAAAATGCAGGCATTTCCAGAGAGGAAATAAGCAAGCAAAGAACCTGAGAAAAGAAAGTAAGATATGTGTTCAAGAGAGAACACAGGTTTTAAAAGCAAGTGTGCATTGTTAATTTTCTTTAGAAAATAATCTTTGACTTGGACACATAATAGATGACAATTCTTTTTAATATGTGGCTTTTCATGCTCTTAACTTTTAAGTTCTATCTGGAATTATTTTCTTGGCAGTAGGGTGACTTTATCCCTTCCTTCTATTTAGGGTGCCATATCTCCAAGGGATACAAGGTATTTTATAAACTTTGAATGGCTCTATTGGCATTAATTCCCCTTGCAGCATCAAAGGCAAGTGAAAAAAATGCACTCACCATTCTAGTGTGTTGGTCATCTGGCTTCACCCCGCCCAGAGTTAGGAAACACTAATGATTAAATGGTATGGGAGGAACAGTCACTGGGCTTTTCCACCACAGTGAGGAAATGCAGTCTTTCCACTTCTAGTCAAGCTGGCATTTGACTTAAAAGTCTTAAAGAAAAAAAACAGCAGCTAAATGAAGGAAATCTGGTAAAATGTGGATGTTTCAGAGCCTCAATTGAAAAAGACTATAGAGAAAGAAGAAGGAAAGACAAAATCCAGTAGTCTGCTTGGCTCTGGATTGTGCCAGGGCTTTGTGGAGTTTTTCCTGAGCTGAAGTTTTTCACATGTCACTGTTTTCTACCTGATGCTTTGGGAGAACTGACTGGATATTGGGTCTCAACTGAGGGAGCATAGAGTGACTGAAGTATTTTATCTTTTTTGATTTTTAGCATTTTTTTTTGCTTTTTTGGGTCACACCTGGCGATGCAAAGGGGTTACTCCTGGTTCTGCACTCAGGAATCATCGCTGGTGGTGCTCAGGGGACCATATGGGATGCTGGAAGTCGAACCTGGGTCAGCCGTGTGCTAGGC